CCGAGGAGCTTCGCGGAGTGATACGTACTGTGCATCAACGTAATATTACCGTATTGTGTGTGTATAAGGACCATAAATGGCACCTGTAAGAGACGTGGTTATGAAGCGGATTTCAAACTCCAGGCTATCAGTCACACAGTAAAACTTGGGAACAGAGCAGCTGTGAAATCTGTCTGTCTTTGTTATTACGCTCAGCGTCTTTTAGTTTACATTTTGACTGCACAATTGTGAGCTCTTTGTTTAGCACAAAAACAACCTTGTTTTCTTTTATTTATGGAGCATTATTATTTAATGAATGCTCATAATTTAATTTTGAGTAATTTTTCATGTACATCTGTGCTGTATGTTAATAAAAGTGCCTGTGTGACATCTGGGACACAGCTTTGACTAAGAACTCTCTTTTTGTTCTTACTTTATGGCTTAAAAAAAAAAATCGAGATATATATCTTATATCGCCATCCAGCTAAAAAATATCGAGATATGAATTTTGGGTCATATCGCCCAGCCCTATTCCAGAGCCCAAGCCATGCGTAGAGGTGAGCCCGACTATATCTAGCCGGTACCTCTCAACCTCACGCACTAACTCAGGCTCCTTCCCCACCAGAGAGGTGACATTCCATGTCCAATTGCCAGTCTTGGCAGCCGGGGATCAGTCCGCCAGGGCCTCCGCTCCTGGCCCCGCACACAATGCCCACGGCCCTCGCGTGGTGGCTGCGTGGTGGGCCCGCGGGAGGATGGGCCCATGTCCCCTTTTCGGGCTGTACCTGGCTGGGCCCCACGGACTGAGGCCCGGCCACCAGACGCTCGGCCTCGGGCACCCTGCCTGGGCCTGGCTCCAAGGCGGGGCCCCAGTAACCCTATCCCGGGCAGGGTAAACTGTTCCCTCTGTTTTTCTCATAAGGGTCTTCTGAATCGCTCTTTGTCTGGTCCCTCACCCATGACCAATTTGCCATGGGAGACCCTACCAGGGGGCAAAAGCCCCCAGATAACATAGCCCCTGGGATCCCTGGGACAGACAAACCCCTCCACCACGATAGGGTAGCGATCCTACGACTCTCCTGTCCACAAAACATTCTCTCAGATAGATTACTTTTTTAATTGATAAACGTGCTCTTCCACTGGTTGAAACTTGAGATTATCAATCTATTGTTATTTCAGACCATGCTCCCCTAGTGATGAGAATGCACATCCCTGGTGCCAATCGTATATACCCCCCTGGAGGTTTAATGCTCTTTTACTCTCTAACGAAGCATTCGTGAATTTTACAAAATCTGAGATTAGAGACTATTGAACGAAACCAGACCCCTGGGATGTCTTTTTCAGTTATATGGGAGTCACTGAAAGCCCATCTTCGGGGCCAAATTATCTCATTTTCCGTTTCAAGAAAAAAAGCTGACACTGAGCACTTGAAACAGCTATTAGATGATATTTTGCAGCTAGATATAAACTACAGTCACTCACCATCGGAAAGCATCCTTAAAGAACGTCAAGCCCTCAAAATGAAATTTGATCTTTTTTCAACACAGCAAGTGGAGCAACTTATCCTAAAGTCTAGATGTACTTTCTTTGAGGAGGGAGAGAAAATTGGCAGGGTCTTAGCACATCAAATACATTCTTTTGGCTCTCGGAGGAGGCGGACCCACTTTTTCTCCTCTCCCTTATCTTCCCTGCTTAGCTCTTACTGTATGTCCTTGTCTAGTCTCGTGTTTTTTGTATTACTTTCCCTCGAACACTCTCTCACAGTCTGTTCTCTAAAACCTAAAGAGAATTATGGATTTGATCAACTGGTCTCTGAATGCTATTGACACCCTTTTCTCAACGAGAAGTCTGGGCTCGGGAGAGCCCGAGTGCCCTGGAGGGACTTTCCCTGCCGGATACACGATGGACGGGTGGCAGAGGATCGTGTGCCTGGCGGGACTGTCGATCGAGGACGCTGAAGATATCTACCTATTCGGAACCATGATAACAGGGTTCTTGCTGATTGGAGCTGGCTTGGCCCTGGCTTATCGGAGAATTAAGAGCAGAACCGGCTGTTCAAACCCCCACAAGGCTGCCCGCTGGGATTGGAACGATGGGACGAATCGCTACTTCTCAGAACGGGCTCATTGAGAGCAGCATGGTTAAGACCTTGGAGACGCTTACATCTGCCATGAATACTCAGAATAACACCTCTGATCTTATATTGGGTTACATCAAGGAGAGGCCTGCTCAGAATAACACCTATGAGCGAAAGTTGGATTGCATTGTGGAACAGCTCAATGCAGTCGTGAGTTCTCAGAATCGGCTCTCTGAGCAAAAGAATGACAAGACCACGGAGCGCAAGTTTGATACCATCATGTGGAAGCTCGCAGTTCTCCAACGGGAGATTGAGAGACCAGTGTCAGAGTGTTAAAGAACAGCTTGAAATTCTCATGAGTTGTCGCAAAAGAAAAATGACCATCATAATCCGGCTACCCCTTCGGCGCCAGCTGTGGGCTCAAGGCTGGAGCCGAACAAAAACTCCCTGATAACGACTGTGTTTAGTCTGTTCTTCCCATTCCATGCAAGGCCACCTGGGTTGGCTGGAAGACTGTTTACTTAGCCTGGCAGGGCGAAGGACACTGTCTCAGCTGAACTATGGACACGCACACACATACTGATACTGATAAGCACTCACTGATGCATCACCCTCCCTACCCCGGATCCAACGCCACGTCCAACGCTTACCTCCCCTCTGATGTGGACATCGGGTCAGCTAGAGGCGCAGTCGAAGATTGCAGCGGTCCCAGATCAGATGTACACACTGGGACTCTTTCCCATGTTGCTGTCTGTGTTTATTGTGCTGTGATGTGTTGATATCTGTGCATTCCTGTATTATCCTTCTGTGTTACACATTTCGATGTTTTTTTCCTCGCTACCTAGCCTGACCTGTTTCCCCAATGTGATGTTTCAATCAATCAATCACTTTATTTATAAAGCACTTTTCACACAGCAATGTAGCACAAAGTGTTTTACATGGTTAAAAGCAGCCCTCCAACTCACTCCCCACACTCTCATTAACATAAACAAACATGGATACATCCCCCCCCCCGACACACACACACATTTTAAAAGTAAAATTGGGCTGGACAGACATGAGCCAGGTGAGGAAACACTATCACAGGGAGCCGTCTGCACCGGGAGCCGCAGCCTCCAGGCTGGGCACACAGCAGGAGGGAGGCAAAGATGTATGTGTATTGTATGTATGGTCGGCAAGGTCTGTCATCTCGGTTGTGGGCAAAAGACCTGCAACTGACAAATAACGGCTATCTCATCTCATCAAAAGTCATCCAAACAGTTCATCTCTGAAATAGCTGAACAGGACCTAAAACATACCGACCACACAGAAATCAGCTCCTGTTTCCAGGAATTTTACTCTGATTTATATACCGCAGAATCACGGCAAGATGAGTCTGCTATGAACAACTTCTTTAGTCACCTCAGTATAACCACATTTGACCCTAAACTGGTTACCGAACTCGAAAGGGACCTCTCTATCCAGGAGGTCATGATGGTGATTGGTGGAATGCAAAGTCCCCTGGACCAGATGGTTTCCCATCTGAATTTTTTAAAACGTTTTCTAACGAACTTTCACCACTTCTGCTCTCAGTCTTTTCAGAGTCCTATTCATCTGGCACTTTCCCTCCAACTATGCAAGAAGTGGTTATTTCACTCATTCTGAAAAAAACAAAGACCCTCTCCAATGTAGCTCATACCGGCCGATTTCACTGCTAAACACGATGCAGAGATTCTCGCAAAAATGTTATCACAGCGCTTAGAGGTCGTGTTACCAACAATCATCTCCACAGACCAAACCGGCTTTATCAAAGGCAGACACTCTTTCTTCAACATTAGACACGTCTTAAGTATAATTCATGACCCTCCCTCAACCAATACACCTCAAGCCCTACTGTCACTTGATGCTGAGAAGGCCTTCGACCGGGTGGAGTGGGACTACCTTTTCTATAGTTTGAGCAAATTTGGTTTTGGCCCCAGATTCATATTGTTGGTGAAAACTCTCTACAATTCACCAATGGCAGCTGTGCGTACTAATAATACGATTTCTTCTTATTTTAAATTCCATAGGGCCACTAGTAGGGATGCCCTCTAGCTCTACTTTTGTTTGTCTTTGCTATAGAGCCCTTAGCATCAGCCATACGACAGGATACCAGTATCACAGGAGTCATCAGAATAGGCCAAGAATACAAAGTTTCACTTTATGCAGACGATCTATTGCTTTTTTATAACTGACCCACCCCTCGCCTCGAAACTACTAAGCACTCTGCAAAGATTTGGTTCAATGTCTGGCTACATAATAAATCCTCAGAAAAGTGAATTCATCCCAATCAATGCGGCTGCAAAAAATATCCCATCTAATCTAATACCATTCAAAGTAAATAATAAAACGTTTAAATTCCTCGGAATCTGGATCTCCAGCTGTTACAAAGATCTTTATAAAACAAACTACCTGCCAATGTTGGAGAGTGTCTGTGAAGGTTCTCAGTCATCCAGGTGATCATAGTCAAAGGAGCTTAGAAAGAAAAGCGTCTGGACTTCTTTAAGTTGCTTGAAGACGTTTCACTTCTCATCTGAAATCTGGGACTCTCCACCATTTGACCTTAGAACTGAAGAAGCTTCTCGGATGAGAGGTGAAACGTCTTCAAGCAACTTAAAGAAGACGCTGTTTTTGGGGTTGAGTTTTGTTTTTGTTTTTTTAGCAGTATGCTGTACTGCTTGTATGTTTAATTTGTTGTTTGTGATCGTACAAAACCTCTTTCAATAAAAAGACTTTGATTTTTTTTTAAAAAAGTACCATTCAGTGCAGAGAGGTCTATTAACACATAGTGAGTGATGAAGAAACACCCAGTGCATCACCTAAGCAAACCGCCTCGAGGTGTTTAGCGGGTGGTAATATGAAAAACACCAACCCAGGAAGCGTGAAAACATTTAATGGCAAACATTTCTGCCCATCTGTCTCTCAGGGTCCACTGACAGATTTTTCAAAGCGCAGTCGGGGCGCCAAGTTCCGCCTCGTCCCAAAGTTCAAGAAGGAGAAGAACAACAAGAACAAAGAAACATGTGCCACGTTCTCTCTGCCAGGTAACATCTGTCTCTCTCTGTGGGATTAAATTCACAGAGGATAATATAGTCATGGCATTTTATGAAATCACTGTTTGCGGTGTTTTCTGTCTGTCTGAACCACTTCCTGTTGATGTTTCAGTTCACCAGTGGGGGACAGAAGAGGTGGGGGCATGGCTGGACTTTCTGTGTCTCACTGAGTATAAAGACATCTTTATTGGTCACGACGTCCGTGGAGCTGAGCTCATCCACCTGGAGAGGAGGGACCTAAAGGTACGCCGCTGGGTCACCGCTAACTGCTGATAGGTATAGGTTGATGTAGCATGGATGGATGGATGGTGAAGATGTGATGGATGGTGGTGATGTAATGGATGGTGCTGGTGATGGGATGGATGATGGAGTGGAAGTGCCTGCCCAGCCTCACTGACCTCCTCTGGTGTGTGCAGGACCTCGGCGTGACGAAGGTGGGCCACATGAAGAGGATCCTGCAGGGCATCAGAGAGCTGAACAGGAACAGCAGTGCCAGCGAGGCCTAGCTGCTGCCAGGTGACTGCTGCTTTATGTGGACAACCTGACGTTCTCGCTCATGTTAGCTTGGCGCTAACAGACTCAGTGTTGTCTTTGTCACATGGTAAAAGCGTCTGATTCGTCCCAAGTCTGCGGACTGACTGATCTAACTTTATCAGCTAATGTTAGGAACCAACCCAGACAGCAGCGTCTATCATTGATGTCGCCATTACAGAAAACGTAGTCAGTAAATCACACTGAGTGCGTTGTGTAGGTGGTGCTAGCTCTAATGTAGGGTAGGTGTGTGTCTTTGTCATAGGGAACAGGTTGTTTCTCCGTCGTAGTGCTGCTCTGCCTACATTCCACCTCTCTGTGCATGACCCTCACAGTGGACAGTTAAGTAGTGCCAATGTGGCTTTCCGCCGGGTGGGTGTAGCTTACCTGCTTGGAGATCATGAGTGGTGTAGCTGGAACCCGTCATACATGGAACTGTGAATGCAGGGATCATTTTTTTAACACTGAACACATGTTTGTAGCAGCCTACACGCTGAATTTTATTATGTAACTGTAGGTATAGGTGTAGATGGGCCACCACCCACGGGGCGAATGTTTGAGGTCAACACGTCGCTGTGCCGTCTGGGAAACATCAGCACATTTCTGCAGCTAACTCACAGCTACGTGCTAATGCTATCTCAGGAACATTAGCACAAGCTGCAAAGCTAACATTAGCTTGATGAACACTGTGGTCTTCACTGACTCTGAGCTGTGTTTGCAGGTTTCACTGACTGTCTTTTTTCCCTTTTTGTTGCCCAGCAACAGCTGCCTGCTCTCCTGTGTTGCTATTCACCACTTCACCTACCTGACCTCTGACCCTGGACCAGCGCCTCAGCCTACAGATGCAGGTCCAGGACTCGCTCTGATTGGACTTGGATCGGTCTGTGCTGGTTCTCAGTAACCTGACTGAACCCAGACACCCAGGATTTCAGGAGAAACAACCAATTACATGACCCCACAGTGCCTTGTCACCCCACCCACCAGCCAATCAGCAGGAGGTCAAGGAGGGCGGGGTTTATCATTCAGGACGTTTGTGTTCCTGCAGGCTGTTGAAATGTTCAGGAAACACAGAGCTCTCACTGTGCATCTCGTGACCGTCTGCGTCATGTTTCAGGAAGTCAGAGAAGCTCCCAACCTGATTTCACTGCTGGAGGAGGAGCCAGAACATCACTGTTGGTTTGAGTGTCTGAGCATCAGAACGAGAAGACTCTCACCTGACCAATCATAAGCCGTGTCAGTCGCTGCCCGAGGTGTATCCCCACTTTGAAACTCGTCAGACCCAGATCCAGTCTGCAGGACTGAGGTGCCCACCTGTAAGTCAGCAGCAGACCAATCACAGTGTCCTCTGGTCTCTGACACGTTTAACCCTTTAATGACTTTACTTCAGGCTGCTGAGCAGGAATTCTGTAACTTCATCACCAAAGTGTGGACACCTGAGGGGGGAGGGCTTATGTTGCCCAGGTAACAGCAGCTGTAGCAGGTCAGATATTTATGTCTTGTATGGAGTGATCTGTGGAGTCCAGAAAGTATCTTTAAGAAGAGTCATGATGAGGAGATGCTGGAGGAGGGGTCCTGTGCCCTTCAGGCCTGCATTTGTGTGGATTCTACTTCTGAGGTTTAAGATAAGCCTTAAGCTCCGCCTTTCTGGGGGCGCAGCATCATGTTTCATATCGTTCTTATCTGTCCAGCGTGCTTATTTTAACACAAACTTATCAGACATGACAGGACCTCCTCCTGCCTGTGGACACTCACCTCAGCCCTGTGACATCACAGGAGCGTGTTGTTTACCTGAATCCAAACGAGCCTTAAACGCACCGTCAGCCCTGCCATTTCAGCTGGACGCTGCCCTGCCACTGCGATCTGATGATGTCAGCTGCTGTAAATGTTTTGTTGAAAAGCGCAGATGTGTTGGGTTTATAAAGCATCTCCCTGTCTGTCTGTCACAAACACAGCTCCAAGTTCAAAGTTACAAACTCAGCAGAGTTATGTTTCTGTCAAAGGTGACGCGAGACAAGACGCCATCACAAGGCCTGAGGACCGGAAGTGTGTGCGTGAGGACAGGGCGTGTGTGTGTGTGTGTGTGTGTGGTTCATCCACAGCAGAAATCCCAGCGACAGCTCAGACATCGTGTTCTCCGTCATACGTGTGCTGTTCCTGCCTGTATTTATACGAGCCGGCCGTCATCACCAGTTCTTTGACAGAAGGTAATAAAAATCACTCAGACGTGTGGAGAAACGGTGTGTGTGTTGGATGCTGATGTTCCGTCTGTGGTCGAGATCAGAAGCTGCACCGCTTCCGTCCGTTCAACAGTTACCAGTTCGGGACTCGCGGTAATGTTCGCTCCCAGCGGCACAGCGAAGCCGATCGTCAGGTTTGTGACACAGAAGGAAAGAAAAGCAAAGACGCTGTGTCTCATTTATCAAGAGTATCCGCCACAGGACCGCACACGTCTTTGAAACACTGCAAACATCCCAGTTTATGGAAGTAGCATCTGATCCACGAGGTTAGCATCATGTTTGAGTAGAAGTTCAGTCAAAGTAAAGCCAAGAGCCGCTCCTCAGATCATGGTCTCTTCCTCTAGGCGGCGCTGGAATGTGCTCAATACCACTAAGTGACTAAAGTGGGCCGGGCGACCTCGGTCCAGCTCCCCGATCCTCTGTCCAGTTTGCTGATGGTTTTACACACACGAGCTCCACCATGAGGGCAGCTCATCATTTATACAGGCAGGTTCACAGGATGCAGACGGTTTTCTGGAGATGCAGGTGAAGTGCAGACGTTCAGCTTTGACTCAGTGAGTTAAACACAGACTGCTACAGACTTTATAACACGCCGTCATTTCAGGGCTCCAGGGTATGGAAGCCTGTTTCTGCCACTAAGGGGGGAAAAAGGATCCATAACTCAAGATTTTGAGTTATTTTCTTGAAATTTCGAGTTGGCGCTGCCAATCAGTAATCTACGTGAATGATGTCATTTCCTTGTTACCCGGAAGCTGAAGCCCTCAGGTACAAATGCTACAGCTACATGCAGTCATGAATGCACAGATTGCTGAGTATTTTCAGCGTGGCTTCAAACGATGAAATCCTTGTGCTATTAGCTGAATCACATGGCGTTACTATCAGCAAACGTACTCGCGAAAGCGCCAGTTTGTTGCGATCCGGTTTTGAATGCGCGCTACTTTGCACCATATGCTTCCAGATAACAAGTGACCTCATTCATGTAGATTACTGATTGGCAGAGCTAAGTCGAAATTTCGAGTTATGTTTCTCCAAATTTCGACTTATTAACTCAAAATTTCGAGTTAATAACTCGAAATTTGGAGAAACATAACTCGAAATTTCGACTTATGGATACTTGGGTTTTTTGGCGTAAACGGGCTTCCATACTAAGGTAAGTAAAGATAAGTGAAAATAAAACGTTCATTTCTAACACTTGGTTGCAAACCCTCCGCTGACACTGACAGCTCATGGACGTTACCATGTGCTTCTTTGCTCTTTAATGCGCTGCCACCTTTACTGCAGCAGCTCTCAGCTGCTGTTTGTTTGTGGACATTTCTGTCTTCAACCAGTGAAATGCTCGCTGGCTTCAGATCAGCTGACTGAACAATGTTCCCCGTGTCTGCGGTGATAAACTCCGGGGTTGCTTTGGCAGACGGTCGGTCTGTTCTGCATCGACAAAAACCATCAGCTTCATTAACATGAAATAAAGTTGTGTTTAGTCAACATTAATCTTTGTTGTATAACTGCACAACTTTCATACCAACATGATTTGTGTGTTTGTCATTCATGTGAACTCTTTGCAGTCACCTCATGTTAAAATAACACCGACAGTTTGGTTACATTTACACCTGTTTATGTTGACTTTATGTTAAACTGATATGATTTTATCAGAAGAATTATTTATTCTGTCAAGCTGCTGTTTAACATGTTTGCAGTAAATGGATTTTCTACATCCTCTAAAAAGCACCTTAAAAACAGTAAGACAATAAACACAAACACTCCTTTAACCAGTTACCTGTGTCCAGCTGGATTTGAACTTAGTGTCTTATAAACTGAAAAACAGCAGCAGGTGTCCCGGAGTTTACCAAAGGACAGCCCGGTGTCATCTGGTTGGTCGCTGTCGTCCCCTCAGTGGATCCTTGGGTGTGAAACGAGTGTTTCTGCATCAAAGCTGAGGAACATTAGGCTGTGTCAGAGTCTGGGTGGCAGTAGTGACACGTCCACAGGACCCCATCCACTGAAGAGTTCAGCAGTTTCCAAGCATCGGATCCAAAAGCCGACGCTTGAGGTCAGTGTTAATGACGCAGCGTCCATCTCTGACAACTGATGTCTTCAAGTTATCAGACATCAGGTGTGTTTATCAGATCAAAACGTGTGTTACATACTGCCATCATCACAGAACATTTTTATAACCATCAAAAACTGATTTAACCCTCTGGAGTCCACGGACGCACCAGCACGTCCAAACGACCTATGAATGAACTTTATTTAGAACAATAACAATGACAATCTCAAAGAGACAAGCAACATATTGAATCATTCAGAACAGAATCACACCTTTTTCTTTTCTCCCGATCAGAGGAATACACATCACTGCCACAGCGCCGTTGGTACACCGCGATGAAATCGACAATAACTGACAGTAAACATACATACATACATATATATATATACACACACATACATGCATACGCACAAATCTCCATAATAATAATATAAAAAGATGAATAACCAATACAAAAATAAATAAATAACAATAAAAAAGAATGAAAAACAAGGAACAGAAATAAAGGAGACAAGGGGGATCATAAACTCTCTAAAAGTGAGGTTCCATAAACAAGACACATAACTTAAATAAGGGGCTAAGAAAAATCAAACTCTTCTAAAAATCTATGCAATTTGATTGCTTGGGGCTTATTTATTAGCTTCAGAGATTTACGGGACAGGGAGAGGTCGTTTTTAAGAGCGGGCCATGAAGGGGGGATTTAGCATATCGGCATTTATGTGTGTAATACTTTGTTATAATAATGAGATTGTTAACTAAAAACTCACTATTTTTATCCTTACTCCAATTTGAATATTTTGAAAAGACCAAAAATCAATATATCCATACTGGGACAATATTAGGACATAGAGAGATTTCCATAAGTTCTGGATTGTCACACATCCATAGAACATGTGCTCTGTTGTTTCCGAAGCTGTTTTACAAATATAACAGTTGTCTAACACAAATTTAAATCTGTCTCTCATAAATTCGTTGGAGGGGTAGATATTTTTTGTAGTTCTAAAATGGACTTCTTTAAATTTGGGGGGAATTGGAAATTTTAAATATTTGGTTCTGATCAACGAGATCTCAGATTTGTTATAATCTTTAAAGCTGAGTGAATGTTTTGTCCTACCTGGATATAAGGTGTTAACCAAATACCTCCTCAAAAACTGATTATTGCATTTTTCATTAACCAAGTCAAGACCATCTAATTTAATTTTATGTAAATTTGGAGTCGGTATATTTGAAAAACTGTTCTTTATCGTATTTACAAGGACTGTTGGGATATTCTGTGAGACCTTTTTATAGAGCTCGAACGAGCAACTCATGTCATATTTCTCATTAAGCCTGTTTAATTCAAGTATATCTCCATTTTCATCCATTATATGTGTCACAGACCAAATTTGTTTTGTCATCCATTC